TTAGGGTTGATACAGTACATTATTAATATAATTAATAATATCAACTATTAGATATCACTAAGGAGCGAAACTATGAGATATATTTTTATAAATACACTTTTTCAACTTTGAAGCAACAGTATTTACAATATAGGAAATTCAAATAATTTATTTTCTGACAGATGGAAATAAATTGTCTGACTTTTTGACACTTAATGTCAAAGGAAGCTAGATAAAATCAAGAAAAATATACGTTTTCAAACTAAATCTTAAATAACTTAAAACGATTTACTTTTGATATAGGAACATGTATAGTTAAAAAGTAACGAAATGTAAAATCTTTTCACTAGTGAAATAAAAAAAGTGGGTTTCCATTTTTTTTCCTACGTCGCTCGCAAATATTCTTTTGCCGTTAAAATGCGTGGAAATCAAAAAATGTTACATCAAATCTATTCCTATATTTCTTAAAAAGATTTCTCATAATGACACAACATGATCGATTACTTAGAAATATTTCTATTTCTTTCTAAATATTTGCGTTTCGTTATCTGCAGTGATATGAATCATTTAATATTTGTTTTGCAACGTATTTCCACGTTTTATATAACAACAGATTATTTACGCAAAATGTGAAGAATTTTATACTACCTACATTGGTTTTGCATATTAATTATGTGATTGATTAATTATTAATCTATTCTAGGTAGTAAATTTACTACCTAGTATATAAGATAGCGATTTACATAAATTATTATAGTTTCCTATAAGAATCGTTATTTTGCTATAACAAAGCATGTTTGATCATAAAACTTTTTGATCGCATTGTATTATAGAAAAGAGGGGTAAAATTTAGATGAGATGAAGATCGTTGTCGTCAGAGCTGCAACAAGTCAAGTTTTAAAAAGACTTAAGTCATTTCTAAAATCAAAATGATTTAAGTCTTAAGTCAATTTCAATATAAAGTTCAAATGACTTAAGCTTTAAGTCTTTGACTTAAGTCAATTTCTTTCAAGTCAAGTCATTTTTGTAAAGACTGAAATCAATATAACATTATTTAAGTATTTTTTTTATTTATGTCTTTTTTTAGTTTTTATAATTTGCCTTAAACGACTTAAATGAATATAATTTCCCTCAAGTCAAGACAACCAGAATTCAATTTAAATACCTATTTTTTAAATGTTAATATTAATTTTATTGTATTAACTATTACCGATTTTTTTATTATCTATATTAATTTATCGTAGATACAGATTAGAATAAAATATTATACAGGATACTACAAATTCTATATACTAGCATTGGTATCTCGGAAACCGTAAGAGATACGAATATGGTTAAATTGGGGCAAAGTTGCGCTTTAGGATGTTCACCAAGATGCCATCAAAAAAGTTTTAAAAATTTCAAGGATTGCTGAGTTTTTTGGAAAAAACTGACTTTTTTGAAAATCAATTTTATTTTTTCCTGGCGTTACTTTTTAGAAAATCGAAAAACTAATTACACATTCTCATGGCTACTTTATTAGGGCTATCTCATTGTGTTTTTAGATTTTTAAATTAGCTGATATTTTGTGAGATACAGAGGCCAACTTAATTTTTTTAAATACGGACCTGCATTTTTTATTTGAAGTTTTGAAAGAACTCGATCTCCTGAGTACAATGATATGCCACATTTGACACTTTTTTTTTGTTTTAGGTACCTTAACAATAACAAAACTATTTAATTATTATTTAAAATAATTTCAAGTCCCACTCTGTTTTTTAAAATTATTTAATCTGATTATATTCATCGCAACAATATGGATCAGCGCTAATTAACATTGAATCGAGCCAACTGAAAAATTCAAACAAATAATACCCAGGTCAGCAATTTAAAAATATTATTTACAACTTTTTTATTGTGATTTTGAAATCTCAGTGTACGATCTAATAATATACATAATATTAATCTTAGTTATTATAAATAAATCAACTTCTACAAACTAGTTTCTAAAACTAGTAATGCTCTACATGTTCGAAAGGGTTACTACCGTCCCTAATACACAAATTAATGTATTTTCGTTCAATCTTATTTATAGCTCTTCGAACATATCTTCTTCTTATACTTCCGAATGCATTCTGTACTCTATATTGTAATGTTGAAATGTATTGTCACTTTTAAAAATGACGTCAAGTAATGCCCAATAATGTTATATTATTTTTTATTATATAATTGCATTTGATTATCCGTATTCGATGTTTTACTCCACGTCATTGTTAAGTTTGAAAGCTTACCAATATTGATATGAATATTGAATAACGATGAATAGATTAAATATTTAAAAAAACAGAGCCGGACTTGAAATTAGTTTAATTAAATTGTGTTCAAATGTCTGATACAAAAAAAAATTAAGTGTGGCATATCATTGTACTCAGGAGACCGAATTCTTTCAAAATCTGAAATAAAAAAATGCAGGTCCGTATTTAAAAAAATTAAGTTGCCCTCTGTATCTCACAAATTATCAGCTAATTTGAAAATCTAAAAATAGTATCAGATAGCCCTAATAAAGTAGCCATGAGAATGTGCAATTAGTTTTTTTATTTTCTAAAAAGTAACGCCAGGAAAAAATGAAATTGATTTTCAAAAAAATCCGTTTTTTCCAAAAAACTCAGCAATCCTTGAAATTTTTGATGGTATCTTGGTGAACATCATAAAGCGCAACTTTGCCCCAATTTAACTATCTTCGTATCTCTTACGGTTTCCGAGATATCAATGCTCGTACCTCGAATTTGTAGCACCTTGTATAAACAACTATAATATACAATAAAAAAATAAACGCATCAAGGACATAAAAACATCAACACCTTAAATTAAATTAAATTTTGTGGTACTTTGTACAGGTTGTCCCATTTTTGTGTGTTTTACAGGGTTTCTTGTTTAACAGCAGCGGAACAAAGATACGGTTTTCACAGTTGCTACTTTTTTATGAAACTAAAGATGGTAAACACATATTTGATGCCGTTGTTAAAAATTTACGATAAAAATATGTGACAAAACGACTTAAATCTCACAAAAGACTTAAGACATTAAAAAAATATTTAAATATTTTTTAATGACTTAAATCTTTTTAATGACTCAAATCTTTTCTAAAAAGACTAAAATCTTTTAAAAAACTTAAATCTTTTTCTATTTCGGAATAAAGACTTAAATTACAAGTCATTTTGAAACTGACTTAAATTTTAAGTCTTAAGTCGAAGCTTTCGAAATATAACTTAAAATCAAATGATTTAAGTCAAAAGAAGTTTTCTGTGAGCTTGCAGCTCAGGTTGTCGTATATAGAGATCGAAAATCGAGTAAAATTACTAGGTTCAGAAATAGTCCGGTCAAATCGGCCCAAAAAATAGGGGTAAGATTACGAATATTCGCAATGAGATAAAAATTGGTTCGAATGTTGGGATCACCATTATAAATTAAACGTGAAAAGTCCCTATCGATTCTACTAGACATCAATGTACAAAAATTGTTCTAGATCATGTTTTTTAGCGTTTTTATTAATTATATTTTTAATAATTTCAACATTTAATAATAAGAAATGTTACTATTGGAAATGATGAAAGCAGTGTGAATTCGAATAAATTGGGGAAAATTATTCGTCTGATTTATAATCATCTAATACTTCTTGTTGTTCTTCTTCTTCCTGCTGAGTGCAAGTAAATTGTCCTAACAGTGACGCATCAGATGTCTCCTCGCTTCATACAAAATATGTTCTGATGGTGATTCAACATTTGAACACGACTGACCTTGACAACTGAAACATGCTAATGAACAAAACAAACCCAACTTTTTTGCAGCCGCCTATCGCCTTTACCATTACATCTTCCTCTAGGAGATGCGAGACCTTGTTGGTGAGAAAGCCCCTAATCATTTTTGCTGAGACTAAGGAGCATCTCACTGTCTTGTCCCTGGCTGTAGTGTCGTGCCTATGGAATTGCACCAAGACGTATAACGATGCCGGATGGGACTACCCTGTCCGTCATACCAGGCACCCTCTACTGTAAGTGGTTATGTATGGAGTAAGTGTAGGGGGTCTTGGCAAGAGAAGACAACCTCACCAAAAACCTAAATCCTACGATGGCGGGGCCAGGTCAAACGGATCCGTGGCTAGATAGAAAGACCTCAACCTTGGGGCACCAGGGGACAACCCATTGTATTCTCGTCTCGCTTATTTCTACATGCGGGCTCTGTAGAGGTGGGCACACTAACCCTTGCTGTGTTGCTGTGTACGCTTTGCCAGAACTCCAATGTAAGAGAAGAGGGCCATGGTCAGGTCCTCACAATAGGAATTGACCTCAAATCCAAGAAGGCAATAGAGAAAAAGAGACATATACTCTATTATAGATCCGGGACAACACCGGTATCAGGTTCAACTTTTTCTTCATAGTAATGTGTAATATAGTAAAATTTCTTATTATGAAATAGTATTGAATTAAACAGACTCCCAATCAATAAATCGTGAAATAGGTCTATTGGGGAAACCACATTAAAAAAAGCGACACTAGTACACTACCTCACAGGTGTCTCACAGGAAACGTGCATATTATGAAGAACACAACTTTTTCAACTTTTGAATCGTTATTTCTCAGAAAGCTAAGGAGAAAAGTGTAAAGCGCTCTTAGGAGAAAAGTGTAAAGACAATTTTTATGGATAATCGTATGATCTACAATTTCTATCTGACCTATTATTATAATAAAACTTACCGTTTGACTGAAAAGGCAAACAAAAACATATTTCCGAACTTTAGACTTTTTTTTGCTCATGGAAGATCAATGAGGGCTTTTCATATTTCATTTATAATGGTGTTCCAAACATTCGTACCAATTTTTAGCTCTACGCAAATTTTTTGCAACCTTGAATGTCTATTTTTACCTGGCTAAGAGCAACGTAGGATTGAACAAAAAATCAACGTAATATATACTATAAACAAACTAAACTCAGAGATTCAATATGCTGTTTAAAATGGTCCTTAATGTATTGTTTATTTTCAGGGCTCTTCAATATTGTCTTGAAGAAAAAGTGAATATTTTAAGTGACAGCGACTGGATTGTTCATTTGGACGAAGAAACTTTACTGACTGAAAATTCAATAAAAGGTATTCTAAACTTTGTCATGGATGGTAAACATCAAATTGGTCAGGGCTTAATAACGTATGCCAACGAAGAAGTAGTCAATTGGATAACAACGTTGTCTGACAGTTTTCGCGTATCCGACGATATGGGCAAATTGAGATTTCAATTCGTCATGTTTCACAAGCCTCTATTCAGTTTTAAAGGATCATTTGTTGTGACACAGGTAGGAAAGAAAAGTCAAAATGAAATTATAAATATTGTACCGTATGATCGAAAAAAAAAACAGCGTCTAGTTGAACATCGGTGATATTCCCCATATAATTTTACATATAAAATGATAGCGATCTTTATTTCATAGCCATCGCTGAGGCAGTTTTTTTTCGATCATATTGTACATTGTTTATCTAGGGATATACTGTTGACGAGTTTCTGTACATAGAATGCCAAAGTAATGCCAGAATACAGAATAAAGATATAACATTTCTCGAGTAATGCCAAACTAAATCCAATGTAATAAATGCCAAAAAAAGAAAAGTTCAACTAGTTCCAATATAACACCAGTAATACCACAAGTAATGCCAAAAATTCCAACTAACTGAAATGTAATACCCAAGTAATAAAAAAAAGAAAAAACAAAATTTCAATATTTTAGCGTTTTAACTCGGTTTTTAATAATTTATGTAACACATTTTTATATATTCATAAGTTGCAACTATAATAAATTTAATACTAGTACCACGAGTAATGCCAAAAATTACCAATAATTCCAACTAATACCAGTAATGCCACAAGTAAGGTTAAACAATCCATCTAATACCACGAGTAATGCCACTAATGTCAAGTAATGCCAACATCTTGTACACCAAAGTAACGCTAGCAGATGACCCCTCGTTGTTTATTTAATCAAATTAACTGTTTTCGAATACACGTAATAGAGTATCACTGGTGTATTTTCAAATAATTTCACTCTAAAAATGCATAGCTCATTCACGCTGATAGAAGCCGTATAATGTCATTTATTTCGGTAGAATCGATTTAGACACTAAATTGATAGGTCATGATATGGCTGAGACTCGCAGTTTGCATAAACCAAGTATCCCTCGTCCAAATTAACTGTGACAGAAAAAGGAGGCGTTAACTTAAACTACTTTACTTCTTAAGCTGAAATATTAACCGAACGTTCGATGACGTATCAGATATTTACGTCAGAACTCTGGCCTTCCGCTAAGACGGTGTTGCCTCTATTTGCCTAACAAACAAAATAAATTTAATACTTAAGAGATAATATTTACTTTTTTCAGTATTGATAGCTTCTAGGATATGTATCTAGAAATCACAGAAAATTTATTAATTGTCAGATATACTCATGATTATATAAATACAGGGTGTCCCAGAAATTAGTGCAAGTATTTTAACTGGGAGTATAGTTCAACCCCAGACAAAAGAAAATTGAAAATTCGGAATCTTTTGAAAAAAAATTTGGAATTTTTTTTAGTTTTTAGTTAAAAAACATAATTTCTTGATAATATGGCAACATAGGTAGTAGATTAAATTCACAAGAAAGAAAATTCAGAAACGATCCAGTGTTCTCTAAATTTTAGCAAAAAATATTTTTTTTTTGGAAATTTTCAAAGTAAAATAACTCCGTTATTTTGGACTTTGACTGACCGTTATTTGAAAAACGATAAAGAGAAAATATGTTTCTTTTATCGAGATCTACCACCCCTTAAAATACTTGCACTTATTTCTGGGACACCCTGTATAATAATAATTAGAGGTGTTTCTTGAGAGTTGAAGGTATGCCATGAAAAATACTAAAATTTTATCGAAAAAAAACGGCGTCGACGATGACTATGAAATGAAGATCGCTGTCATTTTATATGTAAAATTATATGGGAAATGTTATCGATCGATGATTTTTTTCGATTATACGGTATTAACAAATAATTTCCATGTGCACAAGGCTTGAAAAATATCTAACCAAATTTTAATCTATGTTTAAACAATATATTATAGGAGTGTAGTTTACTATAAGCGATATCCCAGATAATAGATAAAAATATTAATGTTAGTTTACGCTTGATAATTTCTATAGGCAATAAATCGGTTAAGCAAATAATCAATATTTGAGTCATAAATTTTTGTGAATAACCTTAAATATCTTTAATACCAGAAATGTGACAAATAAGTTAAATAATCCAATAATATCAATATTGCATTTTATAATCCTATTTATAACACTATCGTAAGATTTAAAATTGTTAATATAAAATAGTGTCGATTTTCCAATATTCTCTCTTTAGATATTTTCTTGTGATAAACCACTGTCACCAATGTTTTGCTGTCAACGCTGACACCAGTGGGGTGCTTAGCCTTTACAGCTAATATTGTAATTTAATTGCACCAAACATGTAATTATGCTGCCACCAATAGCATTGATTTTCTTGGGGATTTTATATTAGTTGTAACTTTATACCACTATTTAGAAATTATTATATTTAATTTTAAACCATGAATACAATTATTACAAAAATTCGTTAGTTATAGCAATGAAAAAAAATTAGGAATGACTGTGGACTCCTTGTGGTCATGGTTTTGTGTTTCGGAAAGTAAGTCCCATTTCATTGGCGTACCTATTATTCTTTAATAACATTTTATGATGCGTTCGCCAATAAAACAGGCGCGCTGTAACATAGCTATTGTAAATGTAAACAAGTATTCGACTTTGTATTTACACATAGTCATGTTTTGGACTGAAAGATAGAAGAGCTAAGGTAATGCACCTGTTTTATGACGTTATTTTTTATGGACGAGGGCATTCCCCTTCTTTCTGTTTTACCTTTCAGGCTTACCCATTACCCTAGTATAGGGAAATTAAAACAACTTTCGTTGCACGTCATCAATGACACCATGTGTCGTCTTATTGAGTTTGCTGGTGGTCGTATTATGATATCCAACCAAAGTTATTTTAATTTCCCTATATGAATAATACTGTTTCATCGTAAAAAAGGCGTCAAAAATGGCTGTGGAATGGGGATGATAATTTTAGCGAGGCCAATCTCTAGACGTCATTTATTAAAAAATTACATAAAATCTGTCGAAATTAACGCTAATTATAGAGAGATTAAAAAGGATAGAACGTTTCCAGGCACACAAATCTGTTGCTATAAAATTATTTTTTTCTTGAATTACTGAAACTGAATAGTATACATTGAATAGTATTTTAATCGCAAAACATTTTCCTATGCACGTCATCAATCATATCGACATTGACACTAAAGTCTATAAACCTGACCAAATGAAATTTTGGCAAAATTCTTATTTTTTTGTATAATTTAAGATACCGAACAGCTCTTCATTTGACTTTATAGAGCAAATGATTGTAATAGATATTTTATTTAGATTAAAGCTGCAAAAATTAGTTTAAGCCGAATTTTATTATCGCTATGTTGGTCACATTGTGCCGTTTTCAGCAAAGTTGTGGTTTATTATTTGACAATATTATCCTAATGTCAGTCATTATTTTGTATAATATCGTGTTGTTGTTGAATCTTTGTGAGTCATTCTCGTTTTTTTTGCCTATTTTCAGTCTATTTTTAAATATTGTACTTTAAAAGCACAAACAGTTCAAATTGTCCTTGCAAAAAAGCACAAATTTTCGAGTTTTTGTATTGCATTTCTTGAAATTGTATCTTGAAAATATGCCGAAGCATTTAAACAGTCGAAGCAAAGAGCTTGTAGCTTCCTGATAAACTATTTTGAACAAGAACGTGACAATAAAGGTCCTTTATTACCCTTGACTGCAGCCAGAGAAGTAAGTTTGATTGATAAGCACATTACACCAGTTTCAAAGTTATTTCTACGTTAGTTTTTATTAAATTCTGTGATTATTAGTTTGTGCATTAATAGCACCCTCTTATTTGTTATTACCACTTATGGCGTTGTAAGATGTAAGATGTAATCAATAAATAAATAAATGACCCATAGTAACGTACACTTAAAATAATCTTCATAATGGACTTTTTGCCAATATGTAATAAGTAAAATAAGCTATAAAACAAATAAATCAATTAATTACTAAAATATTAGTTATTAAATTAAAAATAAAACTTAAAATTTTTTAAGAAATGGTATAATAAATATATTGTTTGTCACTTTTAAATTAAGATTCATCTCATAAATCCATCACAATCTGTCAGCGCCGTTGTTGTTCATCACGTTCATCACATCAAAGTTCATCACGTGCATCGGAAATTGTTTTGCGATTACCATATATTGTTTTATATTAGTAATAAATGACATTTTTTGTGGCGAGGCTTGCGTTTGACACAACATACAGGCGAGCTGAAAAAAAGTTTACTCCGAATAGAACATCCTATTTTTTTTCAGACGCCACAAATAATTTTTTATACAATTTCAAACCTTCCAAATAATATAAAAAGACCTTGTATGTAATTATATATCGAGAAACTATGGTTACGCTCATTGAATTTAACACTTTACGTTTAATAATATATTTTCGTACTTTTGTGCTTAGTCGTAAATGTACTTTACTTTTATGCCTAGGCGTTAGAAAATGACTTTTTTATATTGCCAAATAACGTCAAAAATCTTACTTTTTTCACGTTTGAAAAAAACATTTTTAATTATTTTAATTAATATTTAATTATATTACAACTTAAGGCCAATTGGCAGTAAGCGCCATTAAAAAATAAAGAAGACTAAGTAAAGACGTCTAGAGCTTGAGCTGGCCAAAATTATCATCGATTGTCATTTTGGTATTGCTTCTGAATTGCCAAAAATGTATTGATTTGTAAAGTTGTGCTCCTAGTATAAATTAAAGTTTGTTTGAAGCGACAGTCGCATAAAAGAAAGTCTATCTATAGTAGTTTCATCGCAGTATAGAGATTTCCAATCTTTATGCTTTTGTTACATTTTGTTACAACGCGACCGATTAAATAAATAAATCAGTAGGACTGGGGATCACACCCAGTACTTTTGCACAGCGCACAGCTGTGAACACACTTGCTGGAGCCACGGGCGGTCACTAATCATAACTGGATATTAAAAAATAATGCCTATTCATTTATGACGGTTTCATTCCTACATTTTAAAATATAAGTTTCAACGTTTTATAAAAAGTTTTATTATTTTAACAGAAGGAAATTTCTTTTGATCTTTACCGACATAAATAGATAAAGTATATTCTGATAACATTTTTGCCGATATGTATGACGAAATATATAACCGCCCAACGAAATATTATGTATTATAATATATATTATGTATTACAAAATACTGGGGCGTCTCAAAAGTAGCTCACCCCAATAACATTTTTTTATTTTTTTTCAGATAAAAAAAAACAAAATTTGGTATGTTAGTATATGACATAAATTAGGATTGATTGACGTATTCAATTGTTTTCGGTCACTTCCTGTTTCACCGGAAATTAGTACAACTTTTGATTTTTAAATTGCACCCTAAGTATTTTTTTACTTTATTCGATAGAAAATATTACTCTGAATATAATGACATATCATATGTCAACTTTTGACATTTTTGCATATGGTTTATTTGAAATTAATATTACTTTCGCCCATGCTAAAGCAAGGAAAAAATAATTTTAACATGTTCATGCGGTTCATAACGAAAATTTGACTCAAATATCAAGTGTGTGGTATCAAGTTATTCGTAAAAAAATGCTTTTTCAAATATGCTAATGAGCCACCCTCGTTCCATTTGAAAAAATTGAGATATGACTAAAAATACAATTTGGGCATCTTTTAACTGGCCAGGACAAGACACTAAAAACATTAGACGATTAAATACATTTTTCCAAGGCTCCTTGATTATAAATAAGTGTTTTTAACATAGCCATGGTACTCTAGATTGAAATTTAAAATACAATTTTTTATTAAGCGAAAATGTCAAAAGTTGACATGATGTCATTCTATTCAGAATGTCACTTTCTATCGCATAAAGCAAAGAAATACCGAGGGTGCCATTAAAAAATCAAAAGTTGTAGTCATTTTCGGTGAAATAGGAAGCGAGGAAAAACAAATGAATACGTCAATCAATCCTAATTTATGTCATATACTAACATACTAAATCTCGTTTTTTCATCTGAAAAAATAAAAAAGTTATAGGGGTGAGCCACTTTTCAGACGCACCCGGTATATGTTTTGTATTGACTTTTCAGTGTAAATGATTTGTCAATAAATAAAAATCTTAGTGGGGTTTATATTGTGAACGTTTTTGGCGATTGTGACTTAGATTTTAAAAGTTATCTTGAAAAAAATGTCCGGAAGTGTATTTTTTTAAGTTTGGTTAGTTTTGTCATTCGTAGAAAAGAACTTAATGGTTTAATTTTTTTTGCCCACATATTACTTATTCGAAATTAATACAATTTAGAGAGTTGTTGACATATTTACTGTTCCTGATAATTTCTGAGGACCAGTTTAAATTTAAAATTTCGATAATTTTTTTTCCAGGAAAAAAAAACACCGTCATTCAACAGCATTTACATGTACATACTCTAAAATTAATGAGTTCTCGTTAGCAATATCTTAAAAATCAATTGAATACACCATTTTAGTCTCTTAATGCATGATTCATTTAATTCGCTTTCCACAAGACTTAGCAAAAGAAGACAACACCGCTATTGTTTGTGACTGGCGCGAAACATAGGTGATATTGATGACCAAAATAACGCAACAATTCATCTCCTTAGATTATTTTTAATTACACCGAATTTCCCTATATAAACGATCATCTAAATGTTAAATGGAAGAGCAGAAGCATTATAAGGCGATATGTGCTTCTGAATTTCGCTCCACTCCAAAATTGGGTTTTGATTATTTATATGTATATATATATATATATATATATATATATATATATATATATATATATATATATATATATATATATATATATATATATATATATATATATATATATATATTCTGATGGTGTAATTATTTAATTTCTATGATTTCCTACTATTTTAATGTATTAATAATGTAACTGTATTTTATTTTACTTTTTTGGAAATAAAGGCATTATTATTAAATATTAACTTTTTCCGTAAATATTTGAGTGTGTATGATGTATTTGAAGGGTCTAGGAGAAAACATAATAAATGCCATTCCACTAATTTTGCAAAAGAGCACTGGAGGGCTGGTGGTTTTCAGTTTCTTTCCGTGTATTCTATATTTTTACTAGACATATGTCATAGGATTTAACAACTTATTGCCCTGCAGAGTTTATACATTTTCTAGGGACCAGCGAGACCTACTACCTATAATATTGTAAAATCCTAAAATTAAAAAATTGGCGTTTATCAAGTTATTCCCCTGGACCCTTTATGTGTAAAAACGCTGTGTCTAGGTGCACGCGAAATAGTCTAAGAGCTAGCAACGTTTTCGAGAAAGTATTTTAAGACGTCTGGCTCTTTGATATATATTTGGAACAGCATGCGGCCCGTCTGGCTGCCGATATTCGTTGCGTTCACTACTGCGCATGGGAAGAAGATCCTATATTTTTTATAATGTAGTCCTATAAATTCTAGTATTGAATATAAACCGAACATATCTCCATAGCGTAGTGCGTAGAGTTTCCGACCACGAACCGATCATTCTGAGTTCGAATCCGGGTTAGGACACAGACTTTTTTATTTTATTTTCGTTTATATTCTGATAGTAAAGTATCAAATAATTCTGGTAATTTAATAAAAACAAATATTTAATAATATCAAAGAGCCAGACGTCTGAAAATACTTGTTTTTTCCGACATATTCCGGATATTTTAATTTCTTTAGATGTGTTTGCAAACGTTAAAGATTGTTTACAAATATGTCACACATGTACATAAATATCATTTAAAATAGTAGTATAAACAAAGTGAGAATCTGTATAATAAACGCAAGATAAAATATTCCAACTTTCATTTGTTCAATTTCCTGTTTAGGTTGCTGCTGAGAAAGACGTATCCTTTGACAATGGTCGTGATGGTTCAATAGCTGAAGATTGTTTTTTTGCTATGAAGGCGATGAGCATGAACTACAGTTTTAACTTCATTGAAGGCGATATGTGGGAAAAGTCACCATTTACCTTGATGGATTTCATACAGCAAAGGAAGCGTTGGCTGCAAGGAATTTTATTGGTAGTACATTCCAAGGCAATACCAATTAAGTATAAAATATTACTAGCGTTTTCTTGTTACAGTTGGGTCACATTACCCCTATCCCTAAGCAATATTTTACTCGCCGCATGGTATCCAATACCTTGTCCGATAGTTTTAGACTTCATAGTCGTTTTTATAGGAAGTGTAAACATTTATATGTTTATATTTGGTGTATTAAAGTCATTTAACGTTTATAGATTTGGTTTAGCAAGGTTCTGTCTTTGTCTAATAGGTGCAGTAGCGGTTATGCCCTTTAACTTAATTATAGAGAATATAGCAGTAATATGGGGATATTTTGGTAAAAAACATAAATTTTATGTTGTTAATAAAAATGTTAACACCTCCATTACTGTATAAGTGCTAACCTGAAGACATGTTTTTTAAGTGTGGTTATATTTTGTTATTTTTCTGTGATAGTTTAGTAGATAATTGATCTCATTCTATCAATAAGTAAAACTGAATTTGTTACTTTAATGTCGATTAAATGATAACTGTTCTTTTAATAATTTCCTAAGCTTATATAAGTCCAAAAACATAAAATTTATTTATGAAGAATCTAATAAAATTTAGTACTTACTCCAATCCATTGATTACAAAGGTATTTATACACATCTCTTTATCTGGTAATAAAACGTTCATAAGTTAACTAAAACTTAATCGCAATTTATAAATATATTGTTATATTTATTCATAAATCCATTGTTTGGGCAACAGCTCAGTTGGCTGATTTCAAACGCTGATTCCCGATCGATCACCGAAGTTAAGCGACGTTAGACGATGTGGGCATATGGAAGGATGAAAAACATCTGAAAAATCGAATTTAGAGAGTAGATTATTTAAAGGGAGTTGATTTAGCCACTCGTTAACGCGGGGTTCCATTTTATAGGCCACATTACATTATTGAGAGAACCAAGGTTCAGAATCGTAACTCAATGAGGTTTCTTCTTATGAGACCTTGTTAGGTTCTGTTAATGAAGGGACCAAAAATTAACAAAATGGTTACTAATCCTAATTCCCTATATTATTAATATCAAATCTACATACATATTTAAATAATCAACTGTGGAATTCAATCAGTTATTATCAATAATTATTACGACCCCATGCTTTTGTTAAATTTAACAGAATCATTTTGCCTTATTTCAAAGATTCATGAACTGATTTTGGAAATTGGTAGCGACTTTTACTGTTGAGACATTTTTTTCTGCAAGACACCAAGTAATTTATTAAATCTTTCTATACTTCTTATAGAAGAATTTATTTTATTTTCTAAAACTTAATATCAAATATGTATATCCTAATGAGTTCTTGATTCTAATGAATCTTTTCGGAGTTGATTGGGAATAAAGGTCGGACATATTGGTGGACGCCATGCTCGAGTGAGGAATTTTCCGTATTTATTTTTTTAGATTTACCAATATTTTGCTTTAATCACTTAAGATTAAAACAGTTAACATTTAGTTTTAATAATTGTTCTTGAATGTTTAATATTTAAGTGAAATAATTTAGTTATCACGTTTGATTCGGTAAGGATAGATGCTTTACCAGTTTAAGGTGCAAAGGCCAACATTGTCTTACAGCTTTATCTTATTTAAAAAATGCGGTTAAAGTTTTAAAAGATACACGATGCAATAATAATAAGTTTTGTTCACGAAATAAACATTACTACTGATAAAAAAGCTCTATTTACAGAAAGCTGCATAGGATCGAGTATCGTCGGTAAACGTCATATGGTAGGTTCAAACAGCGAGATAAAATGTTATAAGAAATTTGGTTAAGCGTAGTTGACACGGTCAAAGTGTACTTGGATCAAATACATATTTATGGACGCTGCGTGCGTCTCATTTGGCCACCCCACTGAACAACTCAAAAGCTACAAGTATATTTTCCACGAAATTAACATGTAAAATGCGTGGGAAGAAGCAGCTCACAATAGAACGCAATGGAGAAGTTGGGTTAGCGACAACCAAAATGTAAAGAGGCAACAAAGCAATGAGATTTTTAAATGTCCGGAGTGCGGCAAATAACATCACGTATCGGGCCTGATATCTTTGACGACCCATGTGCCTGCAATAAGAAAACATGTTAGATTGTAACAAGTTTTACAAAAATTGTAACAATCACTGTTAATTGTTTATATAATATTTATAGATCTTCTCTTAGATTCATAGTTGAACAAAAAGTTGGAAATAAACCGGAAATTTATTATGGAATTAAAAAAAAACTATTTGATGTCGTGATGTGATACCTGCGATGGCGGTAATTTACACACATCCTCTTATATAGAAAGTGAGGTTAGGTGACAAAATATTGAAACTGAAGACAGTCACAGAAAATCTCATGAAAGAAAACGCCTTGCGTGACCATCTTCTGATGCGTGTCAAATACTCGTAAGCGAGTAATAGTAGTATGTATATGTATGTATGTATGTATTTGACCACCATTTGAATTGTATCAAGCGATTTTAAATCAGCGTCCAATTGAGACGAGCGCAGCATCCAAGTGTATTTGATTCAAGTACACTTGTTTTAGAACAATGCAGTTGCGTTCATACAGCCAAAATAAAATAAGTCTTATTTTAACTTTTTATTTTTTGTGAAAACGGCTTTACGTATGGTTGCTATATGTCCAGGATTTCCGGGAAAATCCTGGATTTAGGTAAGATGTGCCCCCGGATCCCGGAAAATCATTAGCGTTAGTATCCATATGCGTGAATCAAATTATAAAATCAGATGTTATAAAGATTACAAAGTAAAAAATACACACTTATGCTTAATATTATTCCATCACATAATATTACTACATCCACATTTTTCAGATTAATTTTGTCCCTTTATATCTAATTATTTATGTTATTTTAGTAATTACATATATAATTACATTTCAATAAGACGTGTTTTAACTGTGATTTTTTTTAAATTTAGTTTCCACTCCCTATTCCCGCAAATGTAGAATAGAAAGGGAGTGGTGATGGGGGTTCATTTTTTTAGAGCGTCACCGCTTTTTATTTGCCCTCCCCAAATTTAGCTATAACAATCTGGCAACTATTCGCGCATAATTCAGTGTTTCTTAATTATAATTTTACATAACTATAAATTTATATCACGTCTCGAATAAATAAGTGTACTATAAAACAGCCGTAAATCTCGCATTATCGTTCTGGACAAAGCAAATATATGTTCCTTAATTTATTTTATTTGGTTGTTTGAAGGCTCATGAATATGACTACCTCATTTGTTATTTTATTTTAATTTTATTTCAACCCACCAACAGACTAATGTCATGTAAACATTGATCGAGATAAAATCTGTCCAAAGATTTCGATAGACGACTTCCAAAAAATAACAAAGAATGCAATTTTGCTGCTAATTAAAATGATAGGATAACTGTCAGTTATCCTGTCGTTGGATAGACTATACGTATATAGTCTATCCAACGCAGCGCTATGATCTCGGATATGATGACCGCGAAACTAAACTAAGATTTGAATCTTTGTCCGTATGTTTTCGTTTATAATCGCTTAAGTGACCGCTGCTGAATTTAAGAGTATAGGATCCGATTTATACAAATCTTATCTTCGCTTGGCTTAGCTTAGTTTCGTTCGCAGTGGCCGCCCGCCTTAAGTCGTATATTTTGTTATCTTCGTTCGAGTCACTAAAGAAGTAAAACTAATGGTTAGAAGGATAAACTCCACTGATTTTAGGTTTATAATTCTTGAGCAAATAAGAAAGAGTTAATGACTTACACTTACGCCTTGCGCCAAAGTTGTAATATAAACAATACTTAATGGTTATTTATTCTGACTTATTATTTACAGATACTATACTTGAATCAAAGAGTAATAATAAATTTGGAGTCTAAAAATTAGCAAATATTTTTGAGGGCAATGGCCCAGACGGGTGACCGTCTGGAAACTCTGTCGTGCTGTTGTCCCATGGCAATAGTGTAAAAATCTATTGACACACACTGCTCATTCACGCCTGTTTGAGGCCGGATGAGATCGGATATCTCGTGAGTAAGAGTCGATTTAGACACTCGCCAAGTCTGTAGGCCATTGACCATGATATGTCTGAGGACCGCGGTTCGGATTCCACGTAAACAAAGTAGGCCCCGTCCAGATTAGAAAGCGTAACACCACAATCAAATAAAATGAAAAATTATAATATATAATAACTGTTACTTTATTTTGGCTGTCTGGATGGATATAGGGCGTTCCATATAACCAACTCTCTTACTTTATTTTATTTCGATATTTGAAACTACGTGTGTACCAAATTGTTTTAATATGCACAAAAAATAAAACATTCTAATGTAGATCTATTATAATATTTGTATATCCGCACTTTAGTATGAGTTTCAAGTTTGTCCAAAGAGAGGATACATAACACTGACAGTTGTTTGTCATTTTAATTCACAAATAAATTGTTTTTGACGTTTAAAAATTATGAAATAATTAAAATTCTCATTCTTTGTCGTCTGTCGAAATCTTCCATGACTCGTTGGACATACTTTATATGCATCCGTTATGCGTCGTTCACTCTCCAATCGGGGTGAAATGTGATCTGTCATTTTTTAAATAAACTGATAACGGATATATGCAAAACTCACCTTTATGAACTGTATGAACGATGTATCATATATATTTATTAGCAATAAATAAAAGAGAATATTATTGTAATAAGGAATATTTTTAGTTAATGAAAACTTAATAAGACCAGATGACATTTTCATCCGATTTTATTTTTAAAGAATGAGCTTTGTTTTAAATTATAATTAAAAGTTCAGAGCGTCAAAGAATGTTTTCTAGTCTTATTAGAATGTTTTACTCGAAAACCATATCAATAAACTATGGAGACAAAATAATATATAATATCATCTATTGGCAGACTGTATTTAGTTTTATATAAACCATCTCTAAATGAAATCTAATATATTTCTTTTCTTTAAATGTTATCAGGCTAACCAGTTGCTGCCCTTATGTTAAGATTAGTAAACACATTTTTGTATTATTTATATCTTGTTAGTTAATAAATTGTTTTTTTGTAAAATATCTGTCTAGTCACGTGAGGTCTTTAGGTTTATTTGTACTAATAAATGTAATTGTAAGTTTGTTTTTCCCAATCACATTGTTTTGTTTTAATGGATATAAAAGTTTCATATCCAAATTTGTTATAAACTTTTTTAAAGTGAAATATGCAGTTTTATTTTTCCTCCCCTTAGAAATACATTCGATAATCATATAGGTTCAAAATTAGTTAATCCTATTGTACAATTGATGAAAAAAAACGGCGATGGCTATGGAATAAAGATCGCTGTCATATATCATATACCGACCTGGTCATTTGTTTACTGTGTATAGGATTTTAACATGTAAGACAGAGAATAATATAAACGACCGGTTGACAGACAGAGAGACAGCATCAAAAGGGGCCGGCGAGGAGCCGGTGCGACCGATACAGTGTTGCCGGTTTTTACGGGTGTGGGCAAGGCAAAGCATAAGCATGGTGGGAGAACGCATTGAGAGGGGCGGTGCTTTATGTTAAGGTTCGTATTCACTATCCGAAAGAACAAAGGAATGAAATTCGGTATATTTGGACAGCAAACCGAATGCATGCGGCCGTTCGCCATTCGGTTCGATCCATCATCCGTTTCCAGTCGGTATATCAGAGACGTTCGCAAACGAATGAAAATTATAGAACCGCGCGAACAAGACTGGACGTTCGCTCGTTGGATAGTAGCATTCGTTCGTTCGGATAGTGAATACGCACCTTTATGTAGATGAAAGGGTGGGGGAAAGGAAATAGATCACCTGAGATCCAAACTATTTTTGCATCATTCTTTTCGCCTAGCTGTTTCGGTATGTACGTTAAGTGTTTCAAAAATGGCTATTTATACGACCGAAGAGAAGGTGCATATCGTTAAATGGTTTTAAATTTCGTCAAGTGTGGAAGAGGTCATTGGGCGTTTTGTGTTCACCTTTCAAGATCGCCCTGTGCCACAACTGTACGCAACATTGTCCATAAATTTGAGCAAACAGGCTGCATTGCGGCGTGCAGAAATTGTGACAATAAGGAAGGCGCAGAGAAGGTGATTCCCGACAAGGAAATTAATATTTGTGCCGCGGTCGAAACAAGCGAACCTTGTTCAAGCCGAAATATAGCCGAACAAGTTGGTTGCAATGCTCGAACGGTGCGCAGAGTTTTAAAAAGGCATGGATATAAGTTCTACAAAATCAGTACCACGCAAGAAATTTTTCCCGCAGATTGTAAAAGACGTCTGGAGTTTTGCGAGGCTGTAAGAGAAAGAGCCGATCGGAATAATTTATTTTTGGAAAATATATTATTCTCAGGTGAAAGCCCATCTCCCTTACATGGCTACCACAATCCTTCGATAGTACGTTATTGGTCTTGAGAAAATAAGCACCTTAGTATGGCACCGCGGACACAATATCCACAAAAACTAAATGTTTGTGCTGGCATGCTGCAAAATCATATTATTGGGCCTTTTTTTATTGATGGTATGTTAACAGCTGCCAAATATTTGGATATGCTACAAAACCAAATTGTTCCAGCAGTTCGAAATTTGCCAATCAATTTTGAGGAAGTGTGGTTTCAGCAGGATGGCTGTCCTGCGCATAACGCGCGGAACGTAAATCTGTTCCTTCAAACCACATTTCCCAATCGGCTAATTTCCACACAAGGCACAATTAATTGGCCACCACGTTCTCCTGATTTGTCGCCCAATGACTTCTTTCTGTGGGGATATGTAAAAAACTCCATTTATGGCCATAACCATGAACGACCCATGAATATTGACGAGCTGCGATTAAAAATCGTTCAGTCGTTAGAAAATATCCCCGCTGTTATGTTAGCTAAAGTTAGGTCAGAGTTTTATAACCGTCTTGGCTATTGCGAAGCACAACAGGGAGGTATTTTTGAACCTTTGATTTAATTTTTTATAATTATTTTGCTAATTGTCCTTTTTTAAAGTTGATTTTTAGTCATTTTTTTAATGCTTGTTTTAACTTATGCTGAAACAGCAACAAAAACATGAGCAGTATAGATACAACCGGACGTTTAATTATTTTTATTGTTAAAAGATTAAACGTCTCGAGATGTATGGATAACCTTCAAAATCGTAAATATATTGTAGAATGATGTACACCCAACCCCTTTCAAAATCCGACTGATTTGATAAATGTGTCAAATGTATGTCTACCGTTCTAGGACTTCGATACTGTCAGTGTTGCCAAATGAAGTTTTGAAAATTTCCTGAAGCCTGGTTGGCACGGTCAATCTACCAACAAAAAATATTCTTTTAAAATATTTATCTGATGATACTTTTAGAAATGCCAAGTTTGAGAAAACAAATTAAATACACACACTAAATTGTGTTCAAAAATATGCTTTCTAAAAATGTATTACCTGGACAGAAACCTTAATGTTAGGGAATATTTCCTAGACCTGGCATCTACGGCCATATTCTTTCCCACCACTTGATTTGTCTTAGCTGATTGGTCTCACCCCGCCTCTCGAAATGTGGAAGCCATGCATATCTCTTCGCACGTGTCGCCACGAAACCCAACGAAACTCTTGAGTCATAGGCGTACTAATATTTTATTTTCATTTAGATTTAGTATTACAGCTAATTTTAGTTTAAAAGTTTTGCTTATGAATTCTGTAAAATTTAATTTATTAGAATTTTAATAATAATCTTTTTATGACAGCTGACAATGTTTAAGATGCGAACAGTGGAACAACGCCTTCACCACGCTGCTTCTTAAGCCCCATACATACTCAATATAAAAAAAACTCATCGACATGATCAAAAAGTTTTATGAGCAAGCGGGTTTTGTATCATAAATAAAAACAGATAAACAATTTTTATGTAAAACGACCTTTAAAATTAACATTATAAACATTATATAACTGTTAAGTGGCATCGTATTTATGATTCTAATTGTGCTACACTTTAAGGGGTGTGAAATAAATTACTTATTTATAATAATACTGAATTTATGCGGGGTGGTATAACTAGTGTTATAACGGTTGTAGCTATAGTATTACGGACAACCAACGGTCCAGCTACGTCGAAACACCGGTTCCCATTAGAACACCGAAGTTAAGCGACGTAAGGCGATACTAGTGGATAGACGGGTGACCAGTTCGAAACTCTGTATCGTGCTGTTGTCCAATAAAGGCAAAAGTGTAAAATATATTGACACACGCTGCCCATTCACGCCGGTTCGAGGCCGGATGAGATCGGATATCTCGTGAGTAAGAGTCGATTTAGACACATTAGTCATTGATCGAGGACCGCTGTTCGGATTCCACGTAAACAAAGTAGGCCCCGTCCAAATTAGCCCTGGCAGCTAAAAGGAGACGTTAACTTCAAATCTTTTACTTTACTTTATAGTATTACATTATAACATTATCATGTCATAATATTATAAAATAATATTTCCTACTACCAATTTTTTTAATATTGGTACAGCAAACTTATCAGTATAAAGTTTTACTTATCTTTATCCTTTTTATTGCTATTTATAATTCTGAATACGAGGATAAGAAATTTTAGTTTTCAGTACGCCTATGACCGAAAGCGAACGTCTATCTCCCGCTTCATCAGCGGCCATAATTGGATGGAATCAGGGATGAGTAAATATAAAGGACCCTAAAATTAATAAATTTTGCTCGTCTGCTGCAACACGTAAGAAATATTTATTGATGGATCAGTATGACAGAGAAGTAATAAAAAGGCCGTCTTTATGAATAACAAAATGGTATTTGAACATCATATTATAATCATATTGAATTGACAATAGATTAATTTATCAGCTATCCGCAGAAAATTGACAATAATAATAAAAACATGACACATGGCAATTAATATAATTCCAAATTAAAAATCGATAAGAGTTCTCATTCATAATAGTAATATAGATATATTTCAAAGAACTTTACTTAAAATTAACTTTTTTAATTTTGTACTAGTTTATAGAACTTGGTGGTATAACTTAACAAAATAATATCAATCATTAAATAAAGCATAAACGAACCAATAAATAAACAAAAAGGTTAATTTATTTAGTAAAACATACAACGTACGGCTTTGTATGCCGATTGTCGTGTGTATGAAGAATAAAGTCAACGTTTGTTCAGTACAATACGATATACTGAAAGAGAAAAGACTATAAAATACGAGAGAAAAATGAGAAGTTTATTACCTATCCACTTAATCCGGATCGGTCGACAATAGAATTTGTGATATTTACAACATTATGTAATTAATTGATTATCGGTCCTATTATGTAACTGAGGATGTACGTAACTACGTAATAGAGCATATTTTTTGGTTAGTTTATTTAATGAAGCGTACACACGGCTTTGGTTGCTGATTCTCGTGTGTCAGCGTGTTCAGTACAATACGATATATTGAGAGAGATGCTGATGCTCTATTACGTAGACACGTACATCCCTAGTTGCATAATAAGACAGATAATCTATTAATTCCAAAACGTACTAAAAGCGCAAATTCTGTTGTCGAACAATGTAATCAGTATGATTACAGATTAAATAATTATGGAGGTGCATATGAAACATTAAACGATTCATCATTGTGTTAAGTTATACCACGTAATTTAACAAAAAGATCAATCATTTAATGTCTCACTTCACACTGGCTAACTCCATTATTATTTAATACTGATTAGAATGGTCGGCAATAAAATTTGCACTATTTACTACATAATACAGCATATTTTTTGGTTAGTTTATTTAATGATATAACCGATAATGTACACACGGCTTTGGGTGCCGATTGTCGTGCACAGAGTCTATAGACTCTGTGATTGTATAAATGAACAAAGAGAAAAGAGCAAGAATTTTCCCAAGCGTATGAAGTTGAGCTCCGGATTAAGTGGATAGGTAATAATTTTCTCTCCCCGACTTACAAGATTGCCATAGCGATTCACTTCTAGACATGTAGATAAATGATGACTAAAATAAACGGCCCAAGATTTTCTCTTGCCGACCAGTATATTATCGTAGTCTTAAAGAAATTAGAATAAAATAAACTATGTTAAATTTATGATTATGATTAAGTGGATAGGTAATAATTTTCTCTCCCCGACTTACAAGATTGCCATAGCGATTCACTTCTAGACATGTAGTAATGATGACTAAAATAAACGACCCAAGATTTTCTCTTGCCGACCAGTATATTATCGTAGTCTTAAAGAAATTAGAATAAAATAAACGTATTATAAAAAATGTTAAAAATGTTCATGTATACTACTGAAATGAAGATAATATATCTAAGCTAAATGTAATCTATTACAGTTGTAGTAAAATGAGTAACTAATTGTCGAAAATCCCGATCCAACCCTAGATGCCACATTTTTTTGAAACGTCTACTTCTGCGGTTTGAAATTTTGATGCAAAATCTGGCAATACCGCTCAGAAGAAATGTGCCCACCCATACCCACCCAACTTTTTTCTCTTTTTAATACATTTGATTTGCCATTAAGCTGCCTACATCACTGTCTTACACGTTAAAATCCTATACAGAGTTGACCTGTCCCGATGTGTATATGTAAAATTATGTGGGGAATCTCATCGATGTTCAACTAGACGCCTTTTTTTCGATCATATGTGATTTTTTTTAAGTTACCTTGAGAACTCCTAAAGGAATTTCAAAAATCCGGCTATCCTGTTTTCTATAAATTTTTCCATAATTATGATTCAAGTGCACTGATAAACGTCAACAACGACGAACGAAATAATATTGTTTTATTAATAACAACTTATTGTTTTATTAATAACATACCAGCTGCTCTAAAATTTAAAGTAGATATCTCTAAAAGTATTATTTACATTATTAATACATAATTATTTCAAATATGTTGAAAGTATTAGGGTAAACTTATTCGCTGTCAGTAACAGATTCTTGAATTTCTACTATTTCTGTGGGGCCCAAAGTCTAAAAAAATGAAAAAAAAAACATTATGTTTTCCTAGGATTTCCCTAAGCACAAAGTTGTATGTATTTTTTATTTAAAATGTTTTTTAAACTTAAATTCTAGATCCTATAAACTTACTTGTTTGTTTAGAGAAGAGTTTGTAAAAACGTTGTTTCAAGAACATTGTATTAACCCTTCAGTGAATTATATTCGTTAATTTTTCATTAACTTATTCCGCCTAAGGAATATCTTCAATGTTTCTGTTACAGGCTATATATGTAAACAGACTATGTTTATATGATCTAAGTCGTCTATATGGCCTAAATTGCGTAGACCGTTTATAGATGGAACGGTATTTCACATACGGGAACTAGTGTGTTAACATACGGACTATTGCGAATTAGACCGTTTGTTCAATCGTGCAGTATCGGGTTAAAATGTTTTTTTTTGTTAAATACGTTACATTTTACGAATGGAATCAACAGAAACAACGGTAAATTCCATATACGTATAAATAAAGTATAGTCAGTGTTCTTTATTTAACACCGTGTGCTGTTACCGTGCTGTAAGAGATAGACAACATAACCATCCTCCATATTCTGCATAATATTTCTCCCGGATATCGAAAGAACTGCGATTGGGCCAAACTCCGATTGATTGTTGTTTTAGTTTTGTTTTGGATTACCTTTTGTTTGTGCATGTAAAACAGTGATTTTGTTCAGTTTATTGTTTCCAACTATTTTCTCGATATTTTTCCAACTCCATGATAATGTGTTATAAACCTAGATCATATATACTAACGTGGATAAGTAAATCACTAGGAAAACTGTCGTAAACATATCAACGACTTCCATTTATCTTCTTTTTTTGTTGCACACGCGGTGCTTCTACTCTATCTGTCCTTGTCGAGGACCTACCGTCCGTGCGCCAAATTTGAACATTGATTTGAAAATTTAATTTGTAAAATGCTTATATTTGAACAATAAATTGAATGTTTACTGCCACAAAAATTAAATTATATAAAAAATACATTTAGCCAGTCTGTAAGAATATCAATATTCTTAGGAAATCTAACCAGAAAGTATGCATGTGGATTAATATAAATAAAAGAACAACTGAATACTTCACTCGCCTATGAAAAGATAATTCGGGGACCTTTATATTAGAACTTCCACACACTAAACACTTTCTAGTCATTTTTACGAGTATTTAGAAAGTCCAACGAAAAAAAAAATAAATATAGTTACAAAAACTTAAAATTAACTTCTCACTGAACACACTTGCATCCTTGGCTATATAAAAGCGGTCGATAAAAGAGTGATTAATACAATTTTTAAAATAAAAAACGCAAAAAACAAGCGTCGTTATACAATGGAAATAAGATTGTGACATATAGAAATAACATTATGACAATATGATGACAATGAAAAGTCCATGGTTTCCATAACAATGTATAATTTGTACTTTCTAAACCGTATAAAATTGTAAATATTTTGGAAATACGTGCAATTTTTAATGCGCATGCACAAAGTAATGTCCTCGAGAAAGACAAACCTATTGAACGTTTCATAAGCGCAATAAAGAAGGTTTGAAAATGGCATGTCGTGATGTTGGAGACATATTTTTTATAAAAAATGTCTATACTTATGTGGCGGATTCATCCCTCCAAAAAAACAGAACGTCAACGGTTTCTTGTAGACCAGAAAGAAACTAATAACTAAAGTGAGAGGGATTGTGGAATAGGGCATTTCGTAGACAAGTTTATTTTGTCACCGCGCATCCCAGACGCGCATAGCGTTTAGGCCTGTTTAGGCGGTCAAAAAAGGAAGTTTTCAACTTTGCAAGTTAAACATTTGACAGGATTAATTAGATTGTCAGTAGCTTTTTCTATTTCTTAGCTCTAGAAGGAGATAACTAAAATCTGTTGATAATCGGAGCAAATCGGAGTAATAAATTGTTTTTAACTGAATGTGCCTGTTCTTTTAGCTTGTCAGAAGAGAAGATTATTGTCATTATTGATTATTTCAGATTCCACGATTATTCCGCATTTTGTAATTTTCGTTTTGTGGTTGAGACCCAGACAAAACGTTTCCTTTAAAGGTAAGTTTTATCTCGGTAATTATTTTAACATACCTAATAGTAATAGTGAGTGCACATAATAATCGTACATTGCTAATTTAATTTTTTTAATTTAAAACATCACATTCTTTTCTGATACCTGTGGAGCGACTAGGTATTATACCTGGTATTATTTCCAGTAATACAAATTATTTTCTTCAACTGCTAGGCTCTTGTTATAGAATAAAGACCATCAAAAACATTGAATACCTACGGGATACCGACTGATACTCTGTGCGAGCTCCAAACCGTGCTTCCCTGTTCACTCCCAACCAAGTTAGATAAAAAAGATACTGAAAATTGCAGCCTTGAGTTGGAGTATGGCAAGGAGTCTGGAGTTAAATAAATTATTATGTTCCTACACAGTATTTTATTTATAGGTTTTAATGCTTTAAAGTCTAATAATAAATTTTCGTTGTCAAGAAAATAATCTAAAAAAACTACGAAGATTTCTTATTATAAATTTGAAAGATTAAGATTCGGTTCAAATATACAAATTTTAAATTTTTGGCGCCTGTATATAGGTATGAATGCAACCTACTATATCGATAGTTCGCTCATAGTTCGGGTTAGACGCCAAAGGCCGCGCCACTAACACAGTCTTCAAAAATTAACGTTGATCGGTCTCTCTCACTTTATTTATTAGTGTTCTCTCTGTTGTAGACGTATCTGTTTTAAAAAAGTAAAGTGTCCTCGAATAGTTGAATTTAAATATTTTAAATAGTTTTTTTTCTTTATTTTTTGTATTTTTTTTTTGCTTCCGACGACGGAAAGAGATAAACTTTCCGAAACGTTAAGCATTTTTTTCTTTGTTAGGCAAATTTGTATAACTATAAACATAACTTCTGACAAGCAGTGTCCGTTTAGGTTTAACGCAGAAGTGTTTATAAAAAATGTTATTTTGTAGATTTTCTTGCAGTGCAGTGGCGAAATACCCATAAAGGATTTTTTTGGAGGGATATTTTTTAATGCTAAACTTATGGCGTTGATTTATCCACGTTAGTATGTATGATCTAGGGTTATAAACTTTGTTATAAATAATAAAAAAAATAAATAAAATTGGGGGTTGGGTGAAATGTCAGTCAACCACTTCCCGTTAAAAACACCAACCAATGAAAACTTCTCTTCAGGTGAGGTCAACAAACAAACAACAACTTTGGATAAACACAGTTTGTGGAAGGGCGAGTTGCTTACATATATGCACAAATATCTTCAGTCCATTTACATATAGGCTAGTCTTTTTGTATATGGCCTGTTTTACATATAAGGTCTGTAACATATCCACCAAAGCCTATTCATTAGACAGTCAGTCGACTTACGATCATTTACGTGGAACTCTGCGTATCTACTTATATATTCGTTTATCTTATACATTAACTTGGATTCTGAGCTCCATTGAAGCTGTTTCTGAAGACTATCAAGACTGCAGGTGCTCTAGCTGCCTACATATGTATGAGAACAAGCGCGGGTATTCAAAAACTAACGAATTCGACAGGCTGTCTAATAAATACGCTGTGATATCAGCCACGTATAGAAAAAAATACTTACGGAAGTCGTATTTGTAGAATCATTTAGTACATCTGATTTTCGTTTTATTGATTCATTTGCAGGTGTATGGCTATAAAAATATAAAATGCATGTAAGAATTATTGGAATTAAAGAAAAACTAAAAGAATATAAATTATTTCAGATAAGATATAATAATAAATGTCGAATATACAGGGTGGTCCGAACTGTATTCAGAAACATTGACAGTATATTCCGCAGAAAAAAAATAAGTAAAAATTGGTCAAGTGCAAGTCGGACTCGCTCACGAAGGGTTCCGTACCATTTATTATCTATACAACATTAGACACAATATTATTATAAACTTTTTTTCCGATTTAGCTGAAATTTTGAATGCGCGTATGAGTAATTAAAAAAAATGAAGAAATACATTACTAAAAATTGTATTAATCAATAATAAATATGTAAAAAGTAAAAATAAATATATAAAAATATGTAAAAATTAAAAAAAAGTCGCCTTGACTAGGATTCGAACCTGCCTTACTACGGCTCCAACTTCATAACAGCGTAAAGTCCTAACGCTTTAACCACGCAGCCACTGAGGACTTTACATATTCTATGTAAAATTCTTACTTAAAAGATAATGTTTAGTGAAAGTAGTACTTTTTTATTTATAAACATTTATTTAATTCTGTTTTTAGTATTTGTTCTTATAGCGGCAACATAGATACATTATCTGTGAAAATTTCAACTGTCTAGCTATAACGGTTCATAATATAGACCTTTGTGACAGACGGATGGATAGCGAAGTCTTAGTAACAGGGTTCCCGTTTTTACCCTTTGGGTACGGAACCCTAAAAAGGTTCGTATAAATAAATGTTCTAAAATATTTCGTTACGGAGATATAGGGTGTAGAAGTTTCATTTCTATTTCGATTTTTTCCAAAAAAGTATTTCAGAGTTAACGATATTGATACATGAAAATTAGTGTCTATCTTATTTTTTGTCAATAATGACATGTATTGACTATTTCCATTCCAAATATCTTGAAAGTCGTTGCTCGTAGCGATTTTTACCAAGAGCCAATTTTTATGTAAAACATTACGAAAAGTTATTATATTTTTTACTCAGCAGTTTTATACAGGTACGAACGAAAAGTTATTAATCTTCAAATCAGTTAAAAGAACAAGTAGGTGGCGCTCCCTATAAGTAGGAGTCGTATTGACATCAAAATCAAATTTCTTATGACAAAAAAAAACACTCAGACATCAATTTTCACCCAAATATCGACGTTAGTTCAGAAATTATTCGGAAAAAAACGAAATAAAAATCAAACTTCTACACCCTGTATCGCCGAGACGAAGCATTTTAGAACATAAATTTATAAGAACTTTTTAACTAATTTTTATCTGCAGAATAATATGCTGCAGAAGTTCCCCGAATACAATTCGGACCATCCTGTATATCGAAATAGCAAAATAAAAAGGAGGCGGGTGAAAATAGCATCACGCTTCTATTTTCACTCGCTTCTTTTTCTTCATCTATGGTAATTTCTAATATTTTTCGCATCGTTAATTCTCATTTACTGCACTAAATTGTGATATGCTCCTTGCTCTTTTCACTTTTTAAATAGGTATTTCACATGTTCCAGTTGTTCTATGTATTTTATTGTTATCTTTTATTAATAAATATACAGCAATAGATTGTCTTCTACGCTCAAAATAAGTAGCTTCATCCATTACACAAAAATATATTTATAAAAAGTGTTTAAAAACACAAATATCGCTAAAATTCATGACGAATTTCGCTATTGTATGAACTACGTAAATAAAAGACGGTTTTATTTTGTGATATTCGTATTTCGTAATTCGCGTATATACAGTGTGGCGCATCTCATACGACGCAGAGGCTCCAAGAAGAACGACAGTTTGTATTAAAATGAAATTTTGTGAGCATATGTAGGTTAACTTAGAGCATTTTTTAAAAATATAGAGAGTTCTACAGATTGTCTCCAAAAAAAGTTGCACATCAAAGTTGTGTTTTTTGTAATGGAACACCCGATATATTAATCGATTTTCGGATTCTAGGAGAAAAATAAGGTGAGTTTTATTAGAGAAGTATATGACTCAAATGTAAGATTTTTGACATATTTAACATTTTCTAAAAATGAAGAACAATTTTTAAATTTCAATAAAAACTACCTAAATTCGAATTTACCCGGTATAGCCTAATACCGGTTAGGTTCAAGTCTAATGTAGTTAAAATAACGCTAATACTTTAAATCAAATTAAAACTTGACCCAAAAAGTTATACAGGGTGAGACAAAATTAATATTGAACATTGGTCACCTTTAAAAGCAATTACTCTTTTATTTTAAATGAAACACACAGTATATTCAATGGAGAATTCATGTCTCTTCAAAATATTATTAAGGTTGCCTACCCCTCAAACAAAGATTTTCCTAGATATTTTCATTTTTATGATTTAGTGTCAGGTAGATCTTTATTTTTTGATAAAATCTAGGTAGCTGGTGATACGTCTGACATTACTTCAACATAGCTGTGGAATTAATTCAACTTTAACAACTAGTTATCATTTTGTGTCAGTTAAAATATAAAATAAATTCTCAGAATTTTGTCAAAAATTTAAGACAGAATTATATGATTCTATTAGTTGGTGACTGCAGTGTGTCATTCACCATTTAATAGAATACTTAAATGTTCCTAATTTATCTATTCTTGACTTTTATTATTGGGGTATGTTTAAGACAGTGTTTACAAAACTCGACCAACTATTGTCGCCAACATGAGAGAAATGATTTGACGGCTTTTCAAAGTAGAACTTCACATACGCCTTTTAACATGAAAACGTCTTTTGAAACGAGAATCATTTTATGCAGTGAACCGGAAAGGAAACATATTGGGCATTTGATTTCATCTAGCTAATTTTTGTGTCATAATTATATGCTTATATCTGGTTTTAATTCTGTAATAATTAAAATATCTTTTAAACGTGTATATTTTTACTACGGTTGAGTATTTTACCGTATATACTTTAATTTTTGTTAAATTAACAAAAGGTATATATCACAACAACCTAGATTTTATCAAATAATAAAGATCTACTGAAGCAAAATCATATAAATAAAAATATGCAGGAAAATATTTGTCTGGGAGCAACCTAATGGAATTTTAAAGATATATGAATCGTCAATTGAATACCGATATAATATAGGGTGTTCCATTTAAAATACAGGAGTAACTTGCTTTTAAAAGTGGTCAACAAAATTAATATTGAAATATAAATTTTGTCTCAACCGGCATAAGTTTTCGGGACAAATTTTAATTTGGTTTAACATACAATGATCAATAGTAATTAAATATCACGCTATACAGGGTAAATTACAACCTAGGTAGCTCTTATTGAAATTAAAAATTCATTTTTCATTTTTACAAGATGTGAAATATGTCAAAATCCTTACAATTTAGGCATAAGGCTTCTTTAATAACATAAGGCTTCTTTAATAAAACTCACCTTTATTTTTTCCCTAGAATCCGAAAATCAATTAATATACAGGGTGGCGCACCTCATTCGCCTCGGTTGATTATACGAAAACAGAAAGATGTAGAAACAACATATTTTATGGGTATATGTGGGAAGGCAATGTGCATAATTTAAAATTATTTTCAAATGTACAGGGTGTGTCAGAACTAAAATCCATACCAAAGTTATATTTTTTCTTATGGAACACCCGGTATTTTATTTCATTTTTGAATTCTTAGACATAAAATAAGGCATTTATTATAAGGGTTTAATATGTTTAAAAGCTTTGGTTTTTGAGATATTTAAAGGTATTTAAATATGCATGCTATAATAAAAAAAATTGTCAACACCTTGTACCTTGTACATTACTTTCCAGAATTAATTCTTATGCTGACTTTCAAGACAGAGAAATAAACTGTACTAAAAATTTTGATTGCTTCCTTAAATGTATACAGGGTTATAAAAAATTGCTGGTCTATTTTAAATATTTATTTTACATAAAAACTTCGTTATTTCAAATGCAACACTATGTATTTTTTTGAACAAGTCGAAGCAGATTTAAATGCTCTTTCAGATTATATTAGGGTTTCCTATACCCAGATTTTGAATAAAAAATGATTTTCAATAAAATAGCAATCAAGATGGCTGATGTTGCCATGGCAAGTTTCTAGTGACACTTAGTAGCTATTTTCAAAATCGACATTAATTTATAGACTTTATTTAAATTTATAACTGGATATTTTTATTTAATTTACTTACAATAAGGTTAATAAGTTTTAAAAATAATTAATTATTTTATCAAGAAAAATGAAGCAGTATCTGCTGGCGGAAGGAATGGATATGTTACTAGTGATTTTATTTTGTGAGGATAATTGCTTGTTGGCTTGAAGGGTTTATGCTCAAAAATATCCAAATAGGAGTTTTCTCGACAAGTGTTCTTTTGAAAAACTACTTTTCCTATTTCGCAGAGCTGAGTGTGGTATATGAAAAACATATTAGGCAGAAACCTGTCGTTGGAAGTGAAGAAAATGAATTTGCCTTAATTGGTTCTTTTATAGAAAATTCAATATATCTACAAGTCACCGTAATATAAATCAATGAACTAGTTACTTTTTTATTTTTCTTGATAAAATAATAAATACTTACTTATTAAACTATTGTGGGTAAATTAAAAAAAAGTAAACTGCTATAAATTTAAATAGTGTATAAACAAATGTCATTTTTGAAAATAGCTACTAACTGTCACTAGAAAATTACCATGGCGACACGAGCCATCTTGATTGCCATTTTATTGAAAAATCGCTTTTTATTAAAAATCTGAGCCAGAAAGGTATAAGAAACTCTAATATAGTTTGAAAGAGCATTTAAATTCGACTTATTTTAAAAAATACATAGTGTTGTATTTGAAATAACAAAGTTTTTATGTAAAACAAATATTTAAAATAAACCAGCAATTTTTGATACCCCTGTATACATTTAAGGAAGCAATGACTCTGAAAAGTAATGTACAGAGTGTTGACAAACTTTCTTATTATAGCATGCATTTTTATATATCTTTAAATATCTCAAA